CCACAATTCAAGAGAGATATTGACAAGCTGGAATGTGTCCAGAGGAGGGTGACTAAAATGATCAAGGGTCTAGAGAACAAGCCCTATGAGGAGCGGCTTAAGGATCTGGGCATGTTTAGCCTGAAGAAGAGAAGGCTGAGAGGAGTTATGATAGCCATGTATAAATATGTGAGAGGAAGCCACAGGGAGGAGGGAGCAAGCTTGTTTTCTGCATCCTTGGAGACTAGGACGCAGAACAGTGGCTTCAAACTACAAGAGAGGAGATTCCATCTGAACATGAGGAAGAACTTCCTGACTGTGAGAGCCGTTCAGCAGTGGAACTCTCTGCCCCGGAGTGTGGTGGAGGCTCCTTCTTTGGAAGCTTTTAAACAGAGGCTGGATGGCCATCTGTCAGGGGTGATTTGAATGCAATATTCCTGCTTCTTGGCAGGGGGTTGGACTGGATGGCCCATGAGGTCTCTTCCAACTCTTTGATTCTATGATTCTATGATAGATGTATCTGCAACTACCCTAAGCCTTTATAAGGACCTTGCTTTAAAACAGAGTGACACTTCTTATCAAATCTTACTTCCTGTCAAAGGCTGATAGAATATCTACCAAATTGGTACAGTTTGCATTTTCAAGCAAGATTTGCAAATAACGTGTATTCTGTTATGTCCCTGTCAGATAGCAAGATTCAAGCAGATGGATACCAAAATATGAGGGTGCCAAATGTTACCTTAATACAGCAAACTCTTTTTTTAATGAGGGTGGACAGTGATGACAGTGCTGTGCCTTCCTCACTAATTCTATCTTACAGAACTTAACCATAAATCAAATCCACTCAGCTATCTAAACATATCTATAAATTATACCTATTTTATATAGCAAAATTCTAAACATTATTGTTTGAATTTAACATCAAGGACCTAGTTCTGACTTAGCTTTCTCTTCTCCAAGTACTCAAATACTTTAAATGCCAACATCTTGTAGAATCTTTTCAGTTTTAATTATTTTGCCACAGTGCTGTTTAGAGGATATGAAAGTATATAGGTCAAAGGATATGAGCCACAAAAGTTCAGTGAGGAAAAACAGAGGCTTATTCTTCACGATTTTCTGGTGACATTTGAAGGCTAACAAATTTCCTCGGTAGGAAATAAAAGTTCCTTATTGATGCATTATGGTAATTGACAGAACGGAGTGATCTTGAAATGATAAAGAAACACAGAATACTTTCTGTTTGAATGCGAGTTCACTAAATATTTCAGCTTGCTTTAGCAAAGTAAGATGTGTTATACAGAACAAGAATATTACAATAGACTTTCAGTTAATCAGCACCCATGGGGATTGGTAGATGCCAGATAAATGAAGTTTCTGGTTGCTTGAGAGCTACTACTAAATATAGGCCTAATACCATATCCCTTACTATGCCATACTATGCACTGAAATACAGTAATTAAAAGCACAACAACAAATAAAGACAAACTTAACTTCAGCTTACATTTTTGCTAAAAATTAATTTTGTTCTAATTTTTATTTAAAGTGTTTTTATTCTATTTCTTTGCCAGTTGCTTGGGTTCCGGTTAACTGAAAGTCTATTGTATACGGAAATGCAACCATTAGGACTTTGTGGAAATTCACCAGGAATGTGCATTAATTCCAATAAAATGATAACTAAAGAAAGACAGAGTATAGGGGAGATGTGGAAAAGCCAGGGATGCTTGTTAGGGGCGCGAGGGAAATGGCTTTGACACATTTTGTAGGGGCCCTGTAGCCAAACTAACATATCACTTCCCAATGGGAGAAAAGGTCTCCTTTTGGTCTAAAATGAAAAGAGATGGCTGAAAGCATTGTGATATTGTTCCTGATTCCTCCTGGAAGAAATGAAATTGAGAGGATTTTTATTTTACTTTTTCTCTCCAAAGGATGCTTACATCCTGCTATTCATTATTTATAAGGAGTAGTATGGAGTTGTAAGGAGTAGTAGTCCTCTACGCTCTAACAGTTGCCCACTGTTAGTATACAGAATTGAGAAACAAAATATAGAGAAAATCAATAATAGCATATTTGAATGTGTGAAAAGTAGATGCACAGAATTCTTTCTAGAAATGGTCTGAAAATAAACTCTGTCTTTCAGTAGAAATAGTGAAAAAGCTGTATAGCAAGGAATGTTCTAAACTAAATTTTGACAAACCCTTCTTAATACACACCACTTATATCTCAGATCTCTTAATGTTCCCATCAAAATCCTGTCCAGTTCCACATGAGATAGATAGATAGATAGATAGATAGATAGATAGATAGATAGATAGATAGATAGATAGATAGATGAATTCCCAGTAACAGATCCATGGTCAAGTACTATGTGAGAAAATTATTATTATAATTATGTTTATTTATACCCTGCTTTTTCTCTCCACAAAGTAGACTCAAAAGGCTTACATTAAAAGCATTTCAATACAATTTTAAATCAACAAGTATACAGATATTAAAATAGAAGTAAACATCAATGGTAGGGATTAAAAATGAACACCTAAATCCATAAAACTCATTTAAAACATATTCAGAGCTAAAACCACAGTTCCCCCTAACTTGATCTTAAAAACCTTCTTTTTAAAAGCCTGTCAATGAATTTCAAAACTGATGAATCAAAATCGATACTTTCCGATTTTTTTAGTGCTAAGAAATTATCACAGAATTACATTTTGTAAGTGTTCAGTGCACTAAATAAGAATGATTCAGCAGGAGCTGCACTGACATTCTTTTTCAATTGCTCTGTTTGGAAGAGCAGTGGTAAAAACGCATCTAAACTGAGGTCCTATTGAAAAATAAAAATATGGTGCACAAGTTGTTCTTAAATATTGACTGCTTGCTCTGGCAGTTCTTTGTCTCTTGTCAGTTCATCTCCTGCAATTGCCACCTGCAGTGGCTGTGTTTGGAATACTTTGAGCAATTCATGCTAATTGCTAAAGAGCTTCCTGTATGTCACAGAAACTGGTTATTTCTGTGTGGCCTGAAAAATGATTGCTTTGCTATCCAAAAACAGACATAAGCTATCACAATTATGTTGAGAACAGCGAGGTTTTAAAAAAATAAAGCCATTTTTGTTTTAGTATAGCTCTAAAGCAGGGAAGTAAAAGACATTGTACATATGAAACTGTTTTATCTGAATTGTGTATACTCCAGCTGAGAGTAGCTCTCCATGATCTCAAGCAAAAGGTCTTTCCCAGACCAACTATCCAATTCCAGGAATTGATCATCTCTATTCCCCATTTGTGCTTTACCATGGAACTGTAACTATTTCTGAAGCTGGTATGAAATTGAGTGTCAGAAGTGAGTTGGATACAAACAGAAGCTCTTAGAAACACTTTCTGTTACTCTTGTGGCTCTATTCACATTTCCTTTCATTTTGGGGCAAACTGACTCCATGAGCATTTTTTTTTCTAAACGCAATTCAATTTTTAAATGCTAAATGTCTAAAAATGTATCGGAGGTACACAGAAAAGTAAATTGTATCACTTCCAACCTTCCATGTGCCACATTTGTGATTCAGTTATTAGGTAATAATAATAAATGCTTTATTTATAGCCCGCCCTATCTCCCTGGAGGGATCCAGGGCAGCTTACAACAGTGGCAAACATTCAATGCAAAGAATAGCATATAACAAGTCAAACAAGCTCAATAAAATTTTTAAAAAATTACAACCTAAATAAACATGACATAATACATTCACACATTTACAACATATTAAATTCTTAAGAACTCTTTAAAATCAACAAATATTATTGGAGTTAAGATGGTATATAGCAAACTAATAAAGGTAGGTGTTCAATAGCTACCTTTTGAATTGAGTAGGAGGTGTAATTTCTCCTCCTACTCTCCATAAGCTAAAATGTATAGAGGTGTTTTTAGAAGCTTTTTAAAGGAGAGGAGGGGGGGCATTTTTAGTTTTTTAGAGAGGGGAGTTCAAGAGGCGGGGAGCAATCATGGAGAAGGCCCCCTCTCCCGTCCCCATCAGCCGCACTTGAGATGAGGGTGGGACTGATAGGAGGGCTGCATACCGCAGCACTCGTGCTGGTTTGTATACAGAGATGCCGTTTTTTCAAATGTCTAAACCAAGACTAGACAGCAGTTGATTTCCATAGCCGCGTCTTTTAAAAAGGATAGGATGTTGCTTGTAGTAAATAGTTATAAAGTCTCCTTTTAAAAATCACTTTGTTCTTATACAGAATTTCTTAATTTAAAAATGATTTGTCCAGTTTTCAGCATTTCATATGAAATTCTCAGTGAGACTGATCATTACACAAATTTCACTGCTAGTGAATTATAGAAGCACTGGAAGGAATAAATTGGTTTTTGTGAGGTGTCTTGGTTGAATACATTAACAACATAGTTGTTCTATAAAGTTGGCATGTACTGTAGCACAGTGCTAATTGAGGTAGTGGTCTAGTGCTCGTATCAACAAGTTTCCCAGAATTAAAAAACAACAACCCAGCTTTAACCAATGCTGGTGCCTGATACACCAGCAATTAAAACCCTGGCAGTCTCCACATCAGAAAGCTGAGGTTGCACTCCTGTAGTTCACAAAAATTGTTTTAAATCAGGTAATACTTATATAAAAAATACCTGATGGTGAGAATCATGTGATATACTGTTAAGTAATAGTACAACTTGAAACAAATATTAAAATGTAATAACCTAGATTATGAAGTGTTTGTGCTGCTGGGTGAAAACAGTAACTTTATCCATTAAATATTTGTCCCTGTCAGATAACAGATTAAATTATCTCTTTTTTTCTAAATAGAAGATGCTGTACAGAGTCCTCAATCCAACTTCAAATCCAAACTAAATTAGACCCCTTGGATCAGTGTGATTTTTGTAAATGTTACTTTACTATTCAGCAATTGGTTCAATGGATCTACTGAAGTTAGGGCTAAGCAACTGAATTTAAGACAATGTATTATGCAAATTTGCAATGTTAATACACTGAAGGTAATTCTTTACATTTGCCATCTCCTCAGGTTGAACTAATTAAAGGAAATTCACCAAGTGTCGGACTTGCTCTCCGTCAAGTACAAGCTAAGGAAGGGGAATCAGGACATGTAGTTGTGGAGACTGTCATACCAAACTCAGCTGCTGCGGCTGCTGATCTTCAACGGGGTGACAGACTTATTGCAATTGGTGGTAAGTAACAAAAGTACTCACTTGTAACTTCACATTAGACTTACATGAAAGATGCAAAACATCACATTTTCCATTATCAGAACTGCACAAAGAATTAAGATTTTCCTTGAGCTATTCATTCTGATCCCAAGGTCTCTGAATTGTCACAGCAAGTTCAAATTGCTATAGTGTACATATGATGTTGATGCATGTAATTCTATCTAAAAAACTTTACATTTTCTAGAATGGAATATTGTTCAGTCAGGGAAATTTTGAAAACAGCATCATAGAGGAAGGAATCATCTCAGTTTTATAGTCTACCACATTAATTATTTTTACAAAAATGTTCTTTCCATCCTTTCTGTGAAGAAATTTGTGAAATATTAGAAATCAGCTGACCAAAATCTTTAGCCATCTTTAGCAAAGAGAACTACAGATTGATTAATTTGTCAATTCCTTCTTTTTCTGTATGATGTCCTTGTGTGCTGAACTCATTTCCTATACCGGTAGATTAGATTGCAGTATCATCTATTTCATTATCTTCCCTAAATGCTAGGAATTCTAAGTACTGGGCAATACCTGCAGCTTCTCCCCAGCCAGATACGTGATAGCCCACTATGATGTCAAGGACATACGAACATGTTGTTAACCGTTATTGTATATATTAAAATAGAGTATAATTATGTATTTAATGTGCAATACATGTTACATATTGGGGATCCCTTGGAATAGTGTGAATATGGAATGTTTGGAGTGAATAGTGATTACTGGAATGTCTAGAGGAATTTTGTAAAGGTTGATATATAACAGCTGGTTGGGAAGAAGATTGTGTCTGTCAAACTTAGAAATTACTTGGGTTTAGGAGTTTGAGTGGTTAGAAGAGTTAGCCGGGGTCGAATATATAGATTCGAGTCAGAATCAGCTAGATACAACTGCAAGAGATACAATTTAGATATATTGCATAAATAATGCGTGATCTTATATTCACATATATCTGTTTTTTTAGTATATACATTTTCCTTTGTGAATCTTACACAGGGGATACTGGTGTCTGGTAGCAGTATGGGGCTATAAGATGCAAAAAGTCTCACAAAGAAACCACAAGGGTATCTAGGAGGTCTCCACAATTGATGCCCACACATTGATGGCAGAGAGAGTTCAAATGGTAGCCCTCACAGCTGGTGGCAGAAAATGGATTAGCATAACCCTCACATCCATTGTGCCCATAATGGGGCAGCTTTCTGTTTTCATAAATGGTTTTACTTCTATGTTTTTTTAAAAAGAAAGATAGCTTTTGAAAGTTATAAGATGTGTTTTCTAGCATCACACAAAGACAATCTTAGTGCCCTTGACTTTGCAGCTGATTGCTTTCTGTGGGTCCTTAAAATTCTTACAGTTTTAGCTTTAAAGCTTCTTCATGCTTGAAGAATTGTGCTTACCTTGCAAAGTAAAATATGTGTATAGCTACCTTCTTTAAATTTCTTGTGTAACTAATTATGTAAGAAGTACCTTACTTTAAAATAAATGTGTTTGGGTGATTTGCAGTTTGTGATGACTGAACAGACAGAGGAAGAAAACACTTCAGCATGTGTGAACTAGATTCCAAGTAGAGATGATGAAAAGGGATTAAGTATCACACTGGCTCCTCTGGGAACACAGAATTTTGACGGATTTTAACCTTAGCTAAATATATACTCTTATTTTAAAGCCTTTTTCTGCCCTCTGGTTTCTCAGGTTAATTCTTCATGTCTAGTTTCAACATCAAAGTGTACATGGTACATTTTGGTGGAGCTAAATGAATTATAAAACTTTATCGGGTTATTCACAGTTTTAGCTATCCATGGGGTCTTGGAACATATCCCTTGCTGAAAGGGGGGAGGGAGGTGTACAACATGTAGTTCTACCAACGATACATCTTATAATCATTTTCAGCTGTTTCAGAGCTGCTTAGGGACAGACACAAGTTGAAATAAAGGACTACGTTTGTTTCATTTGACTAAACTAAATATTTATTTTACACAGAAAATATAAATTTTTGTTCCTGAAATTTAAAGGTGTGAATAATCATCTGTTTTTCAAATCTTATTCAGTACTGTTTTCCTCAACAACAGTTTTATTTCGCTGCCCAAATGTCACATGTTAAAACCTACAGAAAAATTGAACCTTCAGGAGAGATATGGTTTTATTCCATGTTTTATTCCATGTTTTATAAAATACCTAAGCCAAGATATCCTTAAATTGCTGCCAGTAATGCATAGCCATTTGTGTAGGAGAAGAGCTTCAAACTGTGGTAACTAAAGTTTCTGATCCAGAAAAGCAGTTTGTGATTTTCCTAACATATCCCTTCTTCAAGATAGTGACAAGGTGTTTGCAGAATACAATTTGTGATTCCTCCAGTTTCTTCCTTCAGATTTTTCCATCTCCTGCAGCATGAGAAAAAATATCTGGAGGCTATCAATAGCATATACACTATATGTTGTCAAGCCCACTTTTGTGTACTGTTGTAACAGTAAATATTATGTACTATAATTGCTGCTGATAGTATTGTGATGAATAGAGGATGGAGCTTTGTTCTAAGCTTCATAACTGAAGCTCATAAACATATTTTATTGTGACTTTTATAGTTAAGGCATTACTTTGTTATAAAACATGCTAGGTACCTGCCCATTTGGCTGAAACAATTATGCAGATATCACACACACACCAATGTCAAATAATATATCATGGATATATTGTATTTATTTAATATCAGTTGTAGAACAGTTCTGGCAAAAGTTGAAATACTTCTGATTTCAGTACAAAAATTTCATGCAATTTAGATATTCTGTGCATGAGATTTTTCCAGGTTTTCCTGTACATATATGTCACACAGGTTCTTTTGTGTCTTGTCATGAGTATTTATTTATTTATTTATTTCCTTCATTCCTACCCCGCCCTTCTCCCACAAGGGGACTCAGGGCAGCTTCACGTGAGCATCAGTGATGCTGTCAACATATACATTTGATTAAAAACAGTAAAACTCAATTATAAAAATTCATCAATAAATTCATTTAACATTCAATTAGCATGCTGCTAAAACCAAGATCTAGCCAGATACATTCATGTATATTAGCAAGATGTGACTTATTAGAGTTGGAAGATACCACAAGGGTCATCCAGTCCAACTCCATCATGCAGAAACACCCAATCAAAGCACTCCTGACAGATAACCATCCAGTCTCTGCTTTAAAACCTATAGAAGAGACTCCACTGTTCCAAGCAACATATTCTGTTGCCATTCAGATCTTACCATCAGAAAGTTCTTCTTAAGGTTTAAATGGAATATCTTTTCCTGCCATTTGAATCTATGATCCTAAGTCTCCAGAGCAGTAAAAAAAAAAAGGTTGCTCCCTCCTCAATGTGACACCTTTTCAATTATTTAAAAATGGCTATCTTGTTCCCTCTTAACCACCTTTTCTCCAAGCTAAGCATATCCAGCCCCCTCAGCCACCTGTCGTAGGGTTTCACTTCTAAAGCTTTGATCATTTTGGTCGTCCTTCTCTGGATGTGTTGACTATCAAGCTCTTTCCTATAATATGTAGAAGTGACAGTAATAAAAGTAATAGTCTGTGAACTAAGTTACAATGACAAAAATAATATTAATAGATTTATCTCACCCTACCCAATAATACTGTAATTTCATACTACAGTACATCTCCTGTATCCATGAGACTGGTACTTCAGACTTCAGTTAACCAACTCCAAAAATGCACTAGACATTTTCTCGATCCTCTAGCATGATTCTGTGATATGCTTCTACTAGAGGTTGACCACAGAATTGCAGTGAAGGAGCTAGAAATGTTAGAGAAGCATTCACTCTGGGCATTTTCTAGGTCCTCCAGCACGATTCCATGCTATGCTTTTGCTAGAAGTAATTCATTTCAGTAAGGTTCACAATTACCTGAGGCTTCATCTCTCCACAGTAAGTCCAGGAATGTATCCCTCACAAATAGGAGAGTTGTACTGTATTTTATCTGATATGGTTTCATTCTGTGGAAACCAGGACTTTATAGTTTCTTCCGGTACTAAGAATTCTCTGGTAGAATATTCTTTGGAATTCTGTAGGATGCAGCCGTGGCAGTTTAAATTATATCAGTGCTGTAACATTGTGCAGTGTGGTGTAGACCTGGATTTCATATACATAGTTATTGCCCAGGTGATTTCATTTGTTATGTTTGACAGTACTGATCATCTGTTTGGATTGGTGAGGAACTGAATTCAAGCTTTTCCCACCTCTGCTGAGATGTGCCTACTAGGTTCATTCCCCCCACCTTTCCAACATTATTTCTGCCAACTTCTGTATTTTCATGTTGTATATTCAGTGTTAGAAATGCATACCTAGCCCTGAGTATTATTATTTAGAGATTTGTTGATAAGAGGTCCAGGTGCAGCATCCTGAAATTAAGGTATTTGGTTATTATCTTCAGGCAATTCAGTAATGTTCTTTCATTATTGTTGATTTTTTTTCTTTCTTTTTTTAAACAGGAGTTAGAATTACATCAACAGTCCAAGTACTAAAGCTCATCAGACAGGCTGGTGAGAGAGTCATAGTATATTATGAGAGGCCGGTTGGAATACAAGATACTCTCGGACAGGTAGATGATGCAGTGTTGCCAGATGGCGTCACCTTAACAGAAGCTGAGATTAAAGACGTGGATTTAGAATTTGAGGACTTGGCCGGTGAACTAAAATCAAGTGAATATAAAGAAGATCTGTTAACAACAAGCCCCAAGCATACTTCTACACTTGGTTCTAAACCACCTGGATCTGTTTCACCAATATTAAATCGTAAGGGAAATTTAGGAGGTCATCAGTTGTCTCCAAGGGCACTTTTCAAAGAAGCAGCCAAGCAAGCAGTAATACTCAAAAATGCTGAAAATGTGGATGCGACCCTTCAACCACAGAAACCAAACAAGCCTCCTGTACCGCCCAGGCCACAGCTTAAAATGACACTACTTTCTAATGACACTCCATTGTCTCCAAGGGCACTTTTCAAAGAAGCAGCCAAGCAAGCAGTAATACTCAAAAATGCTGAAAATATGAATGCAACCCTTCAAACGCAAGATAAGCTGGCATCTTCAAATGATGTTGAGGGAAGTTCAGAAAAATCAACAAAAAGTAGCGATGTAGGGGAAGAATCTGAAGGATCTAAACCAATTACAAACAAGCCAGAAATGGCAAAGGAAACCACAGAACCCTCACAAAATTTGAAAACGGGTACCAACAAGCCTATGTCAAACAAAACAGAAGTGATAAAAGACTCTTCAGAGGGTTCACAAACTCCTAAAGTAAGTACAAACAAACCAGGTACAAATAAATTAGAAACAACAAAGGAGACGTCTGAATTTTCACAAAGTTTTAGGCCAAATATAATAAATCAAGCATGGGAAACACCAGAAATCCCTTATCGCAATCGATTAGGTAAATGGGCAAGAACAAAGGTCTCCTCTTACATATTTGAAGTGCAGAAAGAACATAAGTACCTGAATGTCGCCATTTGGTGTAGAGACCCTTTCAAACTAGGGGGACTTATCTGTTTAGGATACGAAAGCATAAACCTTGAAGAAATAGCTTTAGATTGTATAGCTACGTCCTCCATGGAATTCATCAGACAAGTTAGGTTAAACCCTCCTGCACCGAAAGCTACAGTAAGTAGAACTGCATTGCGTACATTGACCTCACACAAAGGTTTCAATGAAAGTTTTTGTTATGGTGACATTACTTTACATTTTAAATATTTAAAAGAGGGTGAATCAGAAGATTCAAGTTTTTTGATGGAAAAAGAAAAAGAACCTACTTCAGAAACCTTAGCAGCTCCCAGTGTCCAAAAAGAGGATCCTTATTTTGGACAAATAATTTACACTGAAAACAAACACAACTTTCAAGACACCCAGTTTCAGAATCCAACTTGGTGTGACTACTGCAAAAAGAAAGTTTGGACAAAAGCAGCTTCACAGTGTGTAGTTTGTGCATATGTTTGCCACAAAAAATGTCAAGAAAGATGCCTAACAGATGCCCCATATTGTTTAGGGGCCACTAGACGGCTTGAGCGAGCCCTACATACTCTTAAATTTGAAAACCAAGATACTCAGTTTACAGGAGTGTCTCGTGTTGATCCTGAATTGAAAAATGCAACTAGAACAACTGGTTTAACAAGACACATCATGAATACCGGCACCCGATTATTGAATCTTCGTCAGGTTCCTAAAGTTCGTGTCAGCGAGCCAGGGACTGACACAGCGGAACCTTCACCAAGACACACACCACATCCTTCTGATAATGAAGCTAGTGATACAGAAACTGGTGGTTCAAGTAGCCCTTCTAAGACCTCATCGGGTACAACAATAAAGTTAGCAAGAAAGGAGGGAGGACTTGATGATAGTGTGTTTATTGCTGTTAAAGAGATAGGCCGAGATCTTTACAGAAGCTTGCCTACTGAGGAAAGAATTCAAAAATTAGAGGTTATGTTGGAAAAACTGCAAAATGAAATAGACCAAGAACTGGAAAACAATAATTCTTTAATTAGGGAAAAGAAAGAAACAACAGATACAAGGAAAAAAATGGTGTTATCTGCTGCATTGGCTAAATCAGGAGAACGACTTCAAGCCCTAACACTCCTTATGATTCATTATAGAGCAGGCATCGAAGATATTGAAGCTTTAGACCTGGAATCCAGGAAAGATGAAGATGACAACTTAATGGAAGATATGGATAATGATGACGATAATGCTCTAGCAATGGCGCCAGTACTTGAAAGTCTCCTAAAAGAAGGAGAAAAACTTCACGCACCTCATGAATCAGCAGACTGATATTGCACATTTGGCCTTTAGAAAGATAAACTGGGAGAATACTTTGCACTTAATCAAAAACACATCGAATACTTCAAAATGTTATTAAACACTGGTATGATGTATACAGCTGCTCCTCCCATTTTTTAAAGAAAAACTGTAAAAAAAATGGTTAGCATTTTATTTCCATGTACAACACCACCATTTTTGTGTGTGAAGACACTGGTCCAGAATGTGTTTAGAAATATTCTGGGGATTTATACTGGAAGGTTATTTTTAATTTATTTTGACTTTTTCTAAAGTTTTATGTTAACATGATGGTTTTCTTTTTTGTTCCTTTTCATTATTAATTGCAGAGTCTTGAGATTTTTATCTTATGCTTACATTAACACCATCATAGCGCCCACAATGGGACCAGGTTCTGAAAATCTTTATTGTCTCATTATTTAACTCTTCAAAATATTTGGAGAGGAGAGAGTTGTGGGTTGCAGATGGTTTCTAGGGTTTTGCCAATCATGCATCATAGCCAATACTGTGGCATTATTTTCAATAATTTAGTAAAGCTTTTATTACATATCAACATTTTTGCTTTCCATACTTTTTCCATTCATAGATTTTGAGATGTTCATTATGTTTGAATGCATTTTTCTCCTTTGGCTTAGTTGAATTTTCAACTTCTAAAATATTTAATTGAAACTCTTGAATGACCCTTGATAAATGCTTAACCCTTTTTCTCCTTAAAAACCATGGGCATTAGATTTTGCCCCAACAAAGTTCTACCAATGTTATGCAGCAGTTTACTGGAGATGTGCTAGCAAGGTTCTCATCTCAATGTAAAAGTAGAGATGTCTAGCTTTATAGAACATATCACTCTATAATGTAATCCTGCTTAACCACCCATTAGAGAAATTGAACTGTAGCCTTTTCTGTTTACCTGAGCATTGATTTTGCCAGAGAAACTACAACTTCAAAGTTCTAATGCTTAAGTGGATAAAATGTAATTAAAATTTCTCAAATGATTGGCTTTTCACTGGTTGTAATGCCATACGCATTAAAAGAGCAGTCAGATGCTCAACTTGTTAATATAGCATGTAGTTTCTTTCAGTGGATTTGGAGCCCAAGAGGAACTACAGTGAACATTGTCAACTCTTTTTTGAAAAGCCCCAACTGATCTGACGCCGGAGATGTTATTTTGAGGTTTTAAATCTATGTCTTAAGGCTTGATTGTCCATACTCATAATTCTTTTGGCACTGCACCATAAAAATATCTTTGTAAACCTAAAGTTAGCATATCTAAATCATCCTTACTTTGACTGAAAACAGTACTTCATATTATTGTGACAAATGTGCTTTGCTGTAATCATTGTAGTAAATAATTTTCCAAAATTAAATAATTGCTGAAATGAAAATACAGGCCAAACTAAAAAAAGAGCATATTTCTATATTTGAAAAAAATGCTTTATAACCTAAACTAAGTATTTCATAACACCCCCAACCAAAAACAAATAATCTGTTGAATGAATTATGCCTCTCTCCATTAGTATTTAACTTGTGTCCAGGTACTCACTCTATAAACATTTATTGATGAGAAACAACTTCAGAAATAATGAAGACATTAGATTTATGAAATAACATCTTACTGTTCTATCAGTTAATGAAATTGGCATATGTAGTTGGGTATCAATACTCTTCTATGATGATTGTATAATATAAATTAAATGTAGTGCAATATTCTAAACGTTGCGTGAGAATGGTGGCAAAATAATTGTATGGTAGCAACAAGGAAAAACAAAAACACATATTTATAATAAACACTGATCTTGAGAAGCAAGCCGTATTAATACATTCCTATTATATTCTTTGCTTCTGTGCTTTACCATACATAGAAAATAAAAATACCACTGAAAGCAAGAATATCTTCATGCAGTGGTATGTAACTACTTGACACTTGCACATATTTATGGAAATCTGCCTGAGATGATTGTAAGATATGATTTTATCATGAGAATAAGCTTTAATAAAAGTTTTTTTAAAATACATTCTCAGTCTTCCTGTTACAAGCTGTTAGTATCTACAGGATATTTCCAGTTAAAATCTGAAGGAATTATGTTCTCATCACATGTACATGAAGATATATTGACATGTTTTAAAGTAGTGGCTTCCACAATTTCTGCAAGTCTTTGACTGAAGAGAAGAAAACTTACTTGGTATGGAAATGATTCCTGGTACATCTCCTCATTAAGGGTAAAGGTCTGGTTAAAGGTAAGATTTTTTTTTGTCCAAAACCTTGAAGACCCAGTCATGTACAGTGTACCAATTGTATAGGATGGCATTTGTGTATGTGCCTTTGAAGAGGTAATTCTGTTATGGAACTTCAACATATCTAGCAAAGAGCTTCATCATACTTCAGAATATTCAAGAGTGTGTTCAAGAGCAGTGTATTGATTTTGCTTGCATTTATGAGGTCTTAATATCATCCAGTGTAAACTCAGCCCAACAACATAATGCTCTATGGCTGCCCGTACTTGGGTGGCAAGCTTGCACAAAAATTTTGGAGGTTTTGTAAGTTGTATTAAAATTTGTTAAATCTATACTTCCAAAGTTATATCCAACACCTGGGTGTGGCCTGCATCTAAAATTCAAAACTTACCCAATCCTTTTTTAATATTGTAATGCTTGGAAGCCTCACAAAATCAGTTCCATATTTATGTCAAGCAACCAAAAAAAATGGTGTCTCACCATCATAAGCGGGAAAGCAGGGAGAAAGTGTAGTTTGCTGGAAAAGAAAGCACAGAACTCTGGGAAATGTAGTTAGAGAAGGTGAGGAGCTCTGTGGCAGAGAGTGCCAAAGGCCCTGCCCTAAACTACATTTCCCAGAATTCTGCTCGCATCAGAATGCCCCAATCAGGAAAGGAGAGAGATTTTTTCATCCGTAGCAGCAGCCAGTCAGAGTTCCAATGAATGGTTGAATCTGCAAATAGGAGGACTGACCGATACTTCTAGTAAGTTTTATTTATTTATTTATTTAAATCCGTACTAGGCTGGGAAGAAATCCCTAAATGGGAATATCCCTTGTGGGGATATTCAATTGCAATCTTTGGTTAGCCTAAAAGTATAGTCTACTAATGGGTTCAGGAACTAAAGCAAAATATCAAATTGTTACCCTTTATTATTTTTTTCAGTAAATGATAACATTCAAGTTGTTATTTCTCTGCATAATTATCAACATAATAGTGCAACAACAACATTTTAATACCTTGACCAAAATAGATATATACACTTTACAAAACTATGTAAACAGGCTGTCTGCTTTAAAACACAACTTATCTGCTGATAAATGAAAGAAGGCACAGATCATGTTTTACAAACAAGATGACATGTACACAACATTAGAGAAACATTTGATATTTATGCATGGTCAAGAACTCTTAGGATTGCTATTGGAACAATTCAGAGACTAATCCATACATTCAGCACTAGAACTGCCGTAGGGCTCAACAATTGTAGTGTTGATTATTTTATAGGGTGAACAAAATATGGAATAACTCCCTCCCACAAAGATATTGCCCAGTCTTCTTTCCAAAGACCCATCTAGCACAATATTGTTTGGACCGCAGTGTTCAAGAGTCAATCAGGAGGCAGGAAGCCTGCTTTTAGTTACTCTGTGGCTAGTGCTAATTGATAAATTTCTATTTCTAAGTCTAGATTAGGCATGTCCTTCAATTTGTACCCCCCAAAATAAAGTCTTCTAAAAGAAAACCAATATCTTGCTCTTTTGCTTTGAATGTCGAACCTCTGCAATTTAATAGACATAATTTTCTTTTTGCCTACCAGATAATCTTACATTTCTTCACAAGGGATATTACACAAAAGTTCAAAAGTTGGCAGCTCTTGTTTCTGGCATAAATTGGTACATATTTGTCTTGAGTGGTTTTAGTTAATACCATATTGCCATAGAGCCACAGTAATATCCCACTTCAAACTTGCACCATTAGATTATATTTGTGTATCAATATTTGTATAAGGGTTGCACAGACGAGTGATGAAATGACCGTAATACAGAAGACCTTACTATCTGTTTATAAACATCAATACCATTTGGAACACTGGGTGAGCCAATAAGGGAGTTCTATCAAATGCCTTCACAAATACTACATTCTCTTTACACTGATTTTTTTTTTCTATTAACAATAGAAAATTTTACTTGTGTACAAGATTTGAAAAATAGGGTGACATTTCATTTACTATTTAACCAAACTGTTTGAGAAGGGCAAATGGTATAGTCATTTCTGAATATAATGGATCTTTTCAGGCACTAATTTCTGCTGATGAATTAAATAGAAAAATAATAAGGGAACTATTTGTGAATGAACTTTGTAAAAGCATACACTTCAATTTAAATTTACACATTTACACTTCATTTTTTTTTCAAAAATATAGAGCACAATGTTAAATACATAAATAATATTTAATACTGTAAGAACTATAAAAATTACTTTATTCCTTTTGTAAGGCAGTGGGTAATCTGCTTCATAATCAGGGGTAACAATAAAATATACCTTTGGTCTTTTTATTATTTTTGCTACTTCACTTTCAAAAAAAGTACAGTACAACTAAAAAAATGACGAGATGCTTCACAGGAAAAACATGTATACATCAAACTACGCCTTTTGTACATTACTCATCACTTTCTGATTCTTCATCGTCCCCTAACGGATGTGACTGGATGCTGTCCTGTGTATACATTTTGGGTTTATAGTGACAGTTATGGTCCATAAGTATTGCCTACAAAAGAACAGAACTCTGTTAGTAGATATAGCAGTCGATTTATTGGTGTCTGAAGCAGGCGGCTTTCTCAGGTTTAATGCTTCCTTAAAGCTGTTTCTACTTTCTACTCTAGAGGAGAGTAGCTAGGTGGTAGTAGTTTTCTGAGAATGAGGCTTTTCTTTTTGTTTGCTGGAATTATTATTAATAATATTTTTATTATTAGGTTCTTGTGGGTTTTTTCGGGCTATAGAGCCATGTTCTAGAGGCATTTCTCCTGACGTTTCGCCTGCTTCTATGGCAAGCATCCTCAGAGGTAGTGAGGTCTGTTGGAATCCTACCTCTGAGGATGCTTGCCATAGATGCAGGCGAAACGTCTGGAGAAATGCCTCTAGAACATGGCTCTATAGCCCGAAAAAACCCACAAGAACCTAGTGATTCCAGCCATGAAAGCCTTCGACAATACATTTTTATTATTATCTTTTAGAAGTATATTTTCTGAGAGAGGGGAGGAGAAAAAGAAAATAAAAGGGTGACTCTCCAAGCTCCCAAACATGTCCTGCATGTTCCCAACACCTAGTTAGTCCCACTAAATAAAAAGAAAAATCAAAAAGATTCAAGAGAGGTCAAGCCAGAAGCCAAGCCCACCACCCCCCCCAAAAAAAAGAGAACAGGCAGGGCTCACAGGGAAACCCGCATGATGCCAAATAGGGGAGGAGGAGCTATGATCAGCTGTCACATGGCCCCATTACAGATGAAAAACGTGAGGGCTGAGTCCTTGCCATTACGACCATTTGACCAAGCCCAAAAAGCCGGTTTGGATCAAGGGAGATGACTACTCCGATTCTGTGCACAAGCCTACTCCAGACCAACCCCAGATTACTATAAAGGTAATACTGAAAATACTGAATGCAATTAATGGTCTAAATCAGTGGTTCTGATTTGGGTCCCCAGATGTTTTGGCCTTCAACTCCCAGAAATCCTAACAGTTGGTAAACTGGCTGGGATTTCTGGGAGTTGTAGCCCAAAACACCTGGGGGCCCACAGGTTGAGAATCACTGGTCTAAATCCAATGTTTACTCTCAACTACACGAGAGCCACTGAGTCAAGGGGAACTTCATAAGTAGAAGTGAATTGGATTAGTTGATATCTGTGCTAGTTTGGACTAACAAGCAACCAATACAAGAGAGTTCACTTGCATTCTAATGTATTGCAATCCCCTGGAAAAGGCTTAAGTGAAATGAATAAAGCATTATTTGCTTTTGTTATTCTTGTTTTACCCAACTTTGAACTATAACTTGGGATAAGAGGTTTGGGGGAAAATATGTCTCTCATTTTAGCTACACAGTACTAAATCTATCAAAAGGCTTTATATCATCCATGATTATTACTTCTTTTACCACAGGAAAGTCAGAAATAAAAAACAGATTAGTGGTCTGCTTACCATTTTTTCTTCCCTGGCAGGCGGACTGCGCAGAAACAAACACAAAGGAGCAAAGAGGATGTCAATAATTCCTATAATGGTCATAAGCCACGGAAAACCAATTGCTTTGGCAATGGCACCACCAGCAGAAGGACCTTCAGAAATACAAATGGTTTCTTAAATGTCTGAGATATGTACACATAAAAAATAATAGCATGTGAACAGAAATGTATGTTTGGAAATGTGTATGAATAAATAAAAACTCCTGATAAAGCATTTCCATAAACCTTCAAAAAGCACAGGTGACATGATTGGAGCTTGTATGTTAATACTGTTGAGGAAGAGACATCTTTCATCTCTAACCTTAATCGCCAGCATTTTCTCTGCAGGTGAACTTTTACAAACTTTGTAAAAAACAATGGCATGCCTTATATTTGTTCCAAGCTTTTGATGTGTCTTTAAGGTAAAGGTTTCCCCTGTCATTAAGTCTAGTCATATCCAACTCTGAGGGGTTAATCTCAATTTCTAAGCTGAAGAGCCGGCATTATCCATAGACATCTCCAAGAACATGTGGCCCACATGACTGCAAGGAGCACAGTTACTTTCCCACAGAAGCATTTCCTAGTTATCCACTCACATTTTCATATTTTTGAACTGCTAGGTTGGCAGAAGCTGGGGTTAACAGCGTGAGCTCACCCCGCTCCCTAGGTTCAAACCACTTTTGGTCAGCAAGTTCAGCAGTTTAACCCGCTGTGCCTCCAGGAGGCCCTTAGATGTGTCTTTACTCTTTATGGTAATGTTATTACATAATTAAAGATTTACATCACTAAGATTTGTAGGTAAATCATTTTTTTAAACAACATAAAATATAATTACATTTGCAGTAGACAATGCTGGGATCCAAAACAGCTAACATGTAAAATGCACTTCATATATAAAAAGGAAATGAAGCTCTTACCTAAAGCAAATCCCATGCAGAATGCAACATCCGCAATAGCATAAACACTCCCATAGACTGACACATGACGTAAATCAACAAGATAACCCATAATCGGCATCATCGAGGAATCCACCATCCCTGATTATAAGATGTAAGCAAAGCCTGCTTTAGCAACGTTTTTCTTCTCACATTTAAAAATTAAATCGAAAAGCATATGCCAATACCATGGACAAATACTATTGAACAAATTCATTGTTATGGTTAATATAGTGTATTCCGTTTCACATACCCTATATACGCATGTACAAGTCTAGAAAATTTAGGGGGGGAAATCAGCCCAATTAATCCAGTCCAACATCTCCATGGATCAATGTGAGAACTATACCTTAACTATTTTAAAAAGCAACCATCCTCTTCTCCGAATAAAGTAGCAAAAGCCAAGACACTAAATAGTTGCTGTCAGGAGTACAGAAATCTTCCTGACTGATCATGCTGCCATGTTAGCCTAAGACTCAATTCTGGCCTTTCTAAATGTCTGGCTGGAGAAATTGTGACAATAGTTCTCCATGGATCATATCAAAATCCATATTTTTTACCCCCAAATCTGACCATGACTTAACATGAGGTCAAGTTATACATGACTAGATACGGTACATTTTCTTATTTTCATTTTTTAAAATTTGATCTCAATGCAATCTCAAAAGGTCTTGCAACAGCTGCCAAACAACCCTCCTTGCAGTATCTAATTAAATGTTAATGTTTTTTTCCCCAAAAAACTAGAAGAAAACATTTCAGAGACTTTCAGAAGATGCCTTGTTGCAAACACCCTCTTTGGCATCCATTAGAATGATAAAAACACTTGCCAAACACTAGCACAGATACTGTCAACCAGTGATTCCCAACCTTTCTTTGATCAGGGACACTTTGACCAGGGACTACTCTCCAACATTAGTACCAAAAGGTTTACGGATCAGTTTTTGGTCAACTTTAGATTCAGTTTGGGGTTTTTTTTTGGGGGGGGAGGGGGGTGCTGATTCAGAAAATTGCATTGGATAGACCACATCAGCTCTAGTTTCTGATACAGAACATAGGCCATCCAGTAGTCGCCATCTGTTAGCTCACAGAAAACCATATTTAAAAAGCCTCGGCACTATAAGAGGGTTTTGTGAGACTAGTTGCTCTTGTTACAAAAGTGTCATACTGGTAAGGCCATATTTTAATTCTTGCGGACCACTGGTGGCCCATGGAGGTGACAGAGCACAGGTTGGCAATCTTTCTTTGCAGGGCCAAATCTCAAATTTTCAGACAAAACTTAAGGGCTGTTTCATATCAGGCTTGATAAATTTGAAATGTTACTAACTGAGCTAAGTTATTGGAAGCCATTTTGAACTGAAGTGAACATGAGATACAATACAAAGAAAAAGAAAACCAATTCCTTAGTAATATTTCCACTGTAAAGCAAAACAATTTTTAAAAATCTAGCAAACATCAGTTTGCCAGATTATACTATGTAACAAAATTTGAAAAATGTTCTGTTCCTGGTCTGAAAGTGTTATTCCTGATTAATTGTATGGCACATACTTTGAAAGTAGTTGTTATACTTCAGAAACTTCGTTTTTGTGGCTGCCATAAATTACGTTGGATTGGTTGAGACTCAGTGAAATATTATTTGAAAAACTATAGCAAAATGCGCTGCAGGATGTCCCGCAAAAACAAAGTTTTTGCAGTTTAATAAACCTTTTCCATGTTTTTTATGATCGAGCCAATTAGAAAATGGCATTTATAACCCAGGAACAAAAACTGTGTTACATAGTGTAACAAAACAAAAGTCTCAGGAAGTTCACGGCCAATAATTTTGAGAATCTGCCCATATTTTCCCAGTAGAATGAAGAAATATATTTCAATATGTTTATATGTGTTTGGATTAGACATACATCTTTGTATACTGGGAAGATATAGCATAAGGAATTATTGTTACTACTAACAAATAACAACAGAAACCTAGTATATTTTATCAAGGTTATTGCTATGTAATTCCATGAATATTAAATTGATGAATACTAAATTGGAATTTGATATTCTCTGAAAATGGAGTGCTGACTTCTTTCACAGAGAGGAGTCTGTGAAAGAAGTATCCTAGGGTTCTGTGTGTGTATTCCCTTCTGTCCTCTCTTTAATTAAGGTAAAGGTAATGGTTTCCCCTTGACGTTAAGTCTAGTCGAGTCCAACTCTGGGAAGTGGTGCTCATTTCTAAGCCAAAGAGCTGGTATTGTCCGTAGACACCTCCTAGGTAATGTGGCTGGGATGACTGCAAGGAGTGCCGTTACCTTCCCACCTGAGCAGTACCTATTTATTCACATGTTCATGCTTTCAACTGCTAGGTTGGCAAAAGTTGGGGCTATTGACAGGAGCTCACTCAGTCTTGTGGATTTGAACCACTGACCTTCCAGTCAACAAGTTCAGCAGCTCAGAGGTTTAACCTGCTGCACCGTCACGGATCCTCATAACATAAGTGAAAATCAGGGCTGAAGAGATAAATGTGCTTTTTAAAAATGTAAACAAGTGTTGATGTTCAATATATGACTCTGCTCATTCTTTCCATTCTATCTAAAGGAAGCATTGAATTTTGAATTAATGAAAGGGGTACAGGAGAAAGACTTGGCCAGCTATTTAAGAAAAGCAAATATGTGTTAATAATGTGACACAGAATAAGCTACAAATGCAAACCAGTCAAGTTTATAGCCAACAGTGTGAGTAGCATCTATATAATGTAGCAGGTCTTGGGGGGATGCATTCCAAAATCTGATTAATATGTAGACTGTATAGTCTTGTCTGTACAACACACAATCAAATGTCAAATTTCCTTCTAAACAATGCGTTTTTCTTACCAATGGCAAAGCCAACTCCAAAATTTGGTGCTATAAGTCCATATATATTTTTAGCAAGTGGTACCTGGAGGGGGAAGAAAGAGAATGTTGCTTTGTGCCATATCTTTTTCATTTGATTCCTGGCAACTATTCAGTGCATCTCAACTTTTAACATTCTGAGAAAAGGAGTCAGGTCTTACAGAAATAGGATTTTAGCTTTAAGGTATTATATTGAATAGCCTAAATACTCTAAAGGCATCAGGTTCTGACTGATCTTGTAAGCTAAGCATGATCAGCCCTGGGATTTTTGGCTTAAGATAGCCCCAAAAAATACATGGAGTCTTCATAAGTTGATTGATTACTTGAAAGCACACACACACACCTATTATACTGTATTTGGTAAATTTTGATATTCACACACACTGAGTCTTACAATTAGAGAACTGGAGCTGTAACATTAGACTGCACTAAAATTAGTAGGGTCTGACTATACAGATCCCACAACTTCATAAGAATTTGCCACTAAATTCATTGTTTTGCTTTCTTGCAAAGAAACTAATAGTGGGAGTTATATTTAATTTATTTATTATTTACTGTATTTATATCCTTCCCTTCTCACCCTGTGGGGGACTTAGGGCGGCTCAGAAAGACACAATTTGATGCCATATATAGATACATAGAATAAAACAAGCATATATGTATAAAACAAATATTAAAACATATCAAACTTAAGACAATTAATTAAAATCACATAATCCAAAGACATGTTCCAGGAGCCATTCAGGTCTTCCAATTGCATTATTCCATAGTCACTTATTGCACTGAAACTTTTTGCCCAAAGACTTGGTCCAACAACCATATCTTCACTCTTTCTGAAGGTTAGGCGGGAGGAGGGGGTGATCTAATTTCACTGGGGAGGGAGTTCCACAGCTGAGGGGCCACCACTGAGAAGGCCCTGTCTCTTGTTCCCACCATTCACACCTGTGAAGGGGTTGGGATTGAGAGCAGGGCCTCCTCAGACGATTTAAATCTCCAAGAGGGAGATACGTTTGTACAGATAAGCTGGGCCAGAACCATTTTGGGCACTGGTTCTCAACCTGTGGGTCCCCAGGTGTTTGGGCCTACAACTTCCAGAAATCCCAGCCAGTTTACCAGCTGTTAGGTTTTCTGGGAGTTGAAGGCCAAAACATCTGGGACCCACGGGTTGAGAACCACTGGTTTTGGGCTTTATAGGCTAAAGCCAGCATTTTGAATTGTGCTAGGTAGTGGACTGGCAGCCAGTGGAGCTGGTATAACAGAGGGGTTGTGTGCTCCCTGTGCCCCGCTCCAGTAAGGAACCTGGCTGCCACCCATTAGACTACTTGAAGCTTCCAAACAGTCTTCAAACTATATACACATCCCATGAAATATGGACCAACTCAAGCTCTGTTCCCTAGACCTATACTGAAAAGTCTCATTTTCACTGTTTCATATCTGCTTCTGCAAGCCTGGTCTTGTGCATAGGAAGATCATTTTGTTATGTGGAACTTACTTCCTAATAGCCTTACAGTGCAATCCTGTATATGTTTACGAGAATTCCCAGAGTATTCTGTTTAATACAGGATCTCAAATATTTCAAAGTTTAAGAAGCAGTACTGTACTGAGGGCATATAGGACACACCTCAAATCTGATATGTTTCCAACAGATTGATCGCTTAGCATTTGATATGCAGCAATCACACCTATTCCACACCATATTGTCAGAGATCCGTTTTGCAGAAAATTAAAAGGACAAAAGCTTCTATATGTTTTCAATAAGTTTAATTCAGACTTAGGACTTTGTCTTGCAAAATAGATAATGTTTGTGTCCTATTGTTGCTGGTACTATTGTAGTCAACACCAATCATACAGTTTTATTGACAAGATTGATTTAAAATGGATTCTAAACACTGTGTCCAGATTTAATGGCATGCCCACAAAAACAACCACAACAGCACAACACAAAACTATATATAGAACATATATATTGATTTCAAAGTAGAAGAGCAGAAATTTTTTACTTACACATAAAATGCTTATTCCTACTACAATCATTCCAATGAGAGCACAAAGCCACCTATCAAAGAAGAAATATTGTTAGTCATCAAAATAAGTAGACACTAAGCATAAATTTTCCTTGAGTAGAATTACAATTAATGAGATGAATGTAGTAAAATAATACTTTCTCTTATGATTAACTACACGGGATGTTTTTCATAAACTAACTATTTTAAAGAACACCAGGAAATTACAATATACTGTATAACTCTGTCAAGGAATTAGATATACTTAAATACAGCATTTTACCGTCCTATTTTGTGTGCAAGGACCCCAAAAAGATTAGTTCCAAGCAGATAAGAGATGCTAGCTGGAATGAAAGCAACGCCTGAAAAATATAAATGGGATATCTTATCAAGAATGGTTTCAGCGAAGCATTGGAAAAAGTAATAAATTCAGGCACAGCCGTTTTGATTAGAACACATCTAATAAAAGTTTACAGCCTGAACCAAAAAATCTAATATCCGGGTTATTTCAAGTCTTTTGTCAGATCTATCAAGATTAACCATCAAATTTAGAGCATTATTATTCTTGAAACAGAATACTCACTATCAGATACACTCCCTTGGAGGGAGGGAGTGTATGTGTCCATACAACAAATAAAAAAAATCCAAATTAAATATATTTGTGAACCTTGATAAAAGGGGAAGAACTAAAATGAAGAATACAGAGAAATTCAAGAGTTCCCATCATAAGTGGCACTCATATAGATTAATTTGGAAAGTTAAGATTTACAAAAAATAAATCTTATTTTAATGTTGCAAAGGGTGCATGCATCTCCATATGTAGATTTATACATGTAATGAACATTTATGTTGACTGGCAAAGTTGTGTAGTTGAATGTCCAACTACTTCTGTAGGGGAAATCATGCTTGACATTCTTGTCCAGAGAGCAATATTTGCATACAGTTCATCACTGTGGGAGCATAATTGTGTATGTGGTACCATTGTACATATAAGTGTGAACGCAGATGTATTTGCAATGCATGTGGATATATATGCATATTCAGATGTGGATTTGATTGCATGTTGGGTGTCATTCAACAACACAACTTTGTTGTGTCAGTGCTGTTGTGCAACAGAAATGGATGGAGTTGGTTGACAATACCTACAACATATGAAACTTTGCCAACATGGCATATTTCATCAACAATGTCCCACTGACACATTTAGAGGAAACCGGGCACAGCTGTGTCATGATAACAGTAGGCAATGAAGATGCAACATGCCATGTTCACGCTACATACTTATGCCTAAAAACAGTTATTTCTACCATTGACAAATATGTTATATGTAATATTACTTTTGATCAAGTTTGTTTTTATACACTGAATCTGAACAGTATATCTGTTAACCAGAATCTGAGAGCAAAAAATGTTGGTAAAAACTACTTCATATTCCTTTCAAATGTGGTCTCTTTCACAATGCACAACTGTAGAACTAAGATTCCACTTTAATTGCCATGGCTACTTCTTTTGTAATTGTGGTATCTGTAGATAAGTGAGGCACTAGAATAAGGTTGAATATCCTCCAAACTCGAAATGGCAAATTCCTAAATTCTATAGGATGAAACCATGGGAGTTAAAGTGGAATCACAGTGCTATAATTATGTAGCATGAAAGGACCCTACATTTCATTGGCTAAGGACCTCATCACATGGGGCATATTCCCCACTGTAGAACCCACGCAGACAGCACTGAGCCCGCTGGATCTCATCGCATGATGCTCATCTACTTCTGCCATACCGGCTGCATCGACAAAGTATTCTAAAGGGGAAATCTGAACATGGGAGACTACCCATGTTCAGATAGAATATCATGGAGATAGTGTGGGAGCACACTTTCCAGCTTGTGATAGGCAAATGGTGATACAAGGCACTGGGTGACGGATTTGCCCCTTGTCCCATGGTTTGCCTCACTGTCCTATGGATCCTCCTGCTGTCCCCCACATCAAGGACTTCCATGTGATGATATCTTAAATCTGATGTGAAGCAAATGAGTATCCTCTCATATACTGAGACTCCCCCACCCCTTTTCTCCCTGCAAATATGCTCTAGATCACTCAAAAGCAGAAGAGAAGGAGTTACACAAGAGGAGGGAATATCTGTTCTAGACTCCACTAGCAGCTTGGCAGCACTGGATATAACCCCAATATGCAATAATTGTGCTGCGTTTGTGTTTAGACAAAAATCTAAAATGGCTTAAGATGGCTGATTTAGATAATGCTTTTTGTTTCTAATTGAATTTTGTTCTGATCCATGTTCAACACTTCCTGGCTGAGCTACGTCACTCCTGATGTAATATGAACCTGCATAAACACTCTCCCTTGTTGTGATAGCATACACAGCATCAAGGAATCAGTCTCTGTTTGCTGATATACATTTAATTAGCCAGAGAGAAATTTTAGAGATGAAATGTTGTTACCTATTATGAAACATTCTTAGATAATTATCACAAACATTACACCATTTTGTTTTGTTTAAAAGAAATCAAGAAATCAAAGAAAATGGTTCATCACACTTTACCAAGTTGCCATTTTTTGGAACACATTGTCTCCATCATCCAAATGGGTAACGCTGGTTCCAGCATAGCAATTGCCATATTTGAAAAGCATATTGATCCTTGAAAAGAGGTGGAAAACAGATTGCTGGAATTATTTCACTTAAATTGTAATCAACAGTTGGAAAGGGCAACATTGACAGAAAGAAAATGTGTTCTGAAGACTTGCCTGTCAAATACACAATACTGATTACATCTAAATTGCTTGGGTGGGGTGAAAGTCACATAAACCCATAATTTCATGTACTTGCTAGCTGTACAAAATATAAACAATGAAAGGTTATACTATTTTGAAGGAGGAAACACAGATGATCATAGTGTCTGGTGACATTCAGAAAGTCTGCTAAATCCTGGTCAGGACAATGAACAATTTTAGATTTCCATGGCCAATTTATGACTGGATCTATAACACCTGGCTTCCATATCACTCATTGCAAAAGAATAATCAGCTTCACTTGTATTTTGTTTCGAATTGTGTTCTTTCAGTTAAAAATTGCTTTTCATCACCTAATGTCTCTGTCATTTGGATGCGAACAATGAGAAAACTGGAGAGTTGTCTGTGTCTGAATCCAAGTCTAGTTGACAAAGTAGTAGTAGTAATAGTAGGTGTGTTCAGATCTAGGAAAGCGGGGCATGGACTAGTACAATACAACTGTAAGGGTGGGGTAGGTAACAAAGTGCTACAAGGCCAGACAATGAGTTAGGGTTAGAGGGGCCTGGTCAATAGATGAACCAATTAATCAAAGCCACGTTGAAACATCCAAGTTTTCAGGCCTTTACGGAAGGTGGGCAGGGTGGACACTAATCTAATCTCCCTAGGGAGAGAGTTTCAGAGTTGGGGGGGGGGGAGAGGGCACCACTGAGAAGGCCCTCTCCCTCGTCCCCACCAATCATGCTTGTGACGGAGGCAGGAGCGAGAGAAGCCCGCAGAGTTTCATAGGGGAAAATGTGATTGCAAAGATAGTCCTGTCATTATGCTAGACAGAAAGACAGCTAAATAGAACTAAGAGCAGATTCATGTCCTTATTTAGATACATGTATCTAGGCTTGTGGAATATGCTCGTTATGGCTTGCTAAGGAGTCAGATTTTCTAAGAAATTTGGGACATCTTAGACTCATTTTAAATCAAATCTCATTAAAGTTTAGAAGGATTACTTCCAATTAAACACACTATAACATGAGATGAAATACCCAAATTACCCTATTTTACATAATTAAAAATTGGTAGAGAGCACATTCCCCCCTTTCTTGTCCAGTTCACATTGGCTCCAAGGGAGTGAATCGAAAAATGTTCACACATGTACTACCTCAATTGCCATTAACAGTTTAGCCTGTGGTAAAAATAATTACAGAACTGTTTTAGCACATAAGTCCATCACTTAATATGTCATTGATGTGCCTCCTCTGTTCAAAAGAATATGTGATGAACCTTGTAAGAGATATGGACTTAATAGCATTGGGCAATACTCATTTCACTTCACCTCTGGACTTCTAGGCATATCTTCCATGTACACTGGGCAGTTGTGTTTATCTGGCTATGTATACATGCCATTATACTGTTTAGCTGGCATTGCACCACCTGATATCCGCCGGGAAGTATCAGCCAGCAATGAAAAGACCAATGCATGGACATCTCTAGCCCATCCTCTGTTTGGATATCAGCCAGCATGCCAACATCTTAAATCAAGAAACAGCTTCCTAATATCTAGAGAGATACTTGCAGGAACACCTCAGCAAGCGAGAGTCCAAAAGTGGCAGGCTAAAATCTGCAACCTCAACCAGTGACTGAGACAGGATGAGAAACTCCCCCGGGCACACAGAAGACTGGGCAACTTGGAAGGCGCTGAACAGACTGAGCTCTGGTATCATGAAATGCAGAGCCAATCTTAAGAAATGGGGCTTCAAAGTAGAGTTCATGACATGCGAGTGTGGAGAAGAGCAAACCACAGATCTCACAACCTCTGAGGATGCCTGCCACAGATGCAGGTGAACCGTCAGGAGAGAATGCTTCTAGAGCATGGCCATACAGCCCGAAAAACCTACAACAACCCAAAGCACAGACCACTTACTAAAATGCAGTCTGAGCCCTCCTATATGCACAATGAAGGACCTTCTTACAGTGACACCAGGGGCACTTGAAGTAGACAGTTTCTGGTCAAAGGAAATCTAGCATAATGCCAAGTTTTTAACTTTGTTTGTGGTTTCTTATATACCATTACTGTATTCTCGATTTGCTTCTGACACGATAAATAAAAATACATGCCATAATATGTTCTCGATCAACATTACTATGTAGTCATGTGGCAAAATATATACATGTATGTTTCATTCCTGGACTGCAATGTATATTTTTCTATATTAAGAAGCTCTGAATCTATGAACGAACTCTCTGTTACGTCCTATTGCACAATTCACTGAGGAATGCACTTCCAACATGTGTTTACAACACTTTGATGGCAATCAAAATCTCCACAAACCAAAACTGCAGCCATTAGAAGCTCAAGAATTGTTTATCTTTAAAATCTAAGTGCAATATGTCTTAAGCCATAGCAGAATTCTTTCTTCTGGGGAAAGACTCCCTCATCACACAGTTCAGCACAAAAATGACCATTGCTGTCATTCTTTGCTCAAATCTGCCAAGGTGCATTAGCTTATGTGTGTGTACAATCCCCAAAACAATATTGTGGTCTCACTAGGGCTGTGGTCCTGAGGGCAAGAAGCAAGAGTTCAGTGCTGCTCATACAATGAACAATGAAATGTTACATCTAATGTGATCTTTCCACCATCATTGGTACCTGAAGAACTCATCTATCTACAAGCACGATGAAGTAATATTGCCCTAGCTAAAGAAACGTGATCTCTGAAACTTGAAAAGCAAACTTTGACTACAAAAAAGTGGCATAATTCACTACAGTAGACCAATGTTGTTCTAAATCAAGGAAGGATATGAGATATAGACTGAATGTTCTAATTTAGACTTAATATACTTGAGTAGGGAGAGAGAATATGAATACTAAATACATTTGCAGAAAACATCACCGTTCTCTCCAGCAAACACTTGACTCAATTATAAGATTGCAGTATGCCTAGTCAAAACAGTCACAGCAAGAAGCAAAACATGTTGGCCTGCTACTTTATGATTAAATAAGGCTTGTACTCATGGAAGTTTCTGATATACACATATACTACTGCTGGTAGGTGCTCCGAAACTATTGCTATTGATGTCTGAATCAAACATAACCTGCTCTATTTATGCTGTAACCTGCCTCAAGCCATGAGGAGATATAGGTAATAAATTATTATTTATTTGTCAAAGGCTTTTATGGTCTGAATCATTGGGTTGTTGTGAGTTATTTGGGATGCATGGCCATGTTTCAGTAGTATTCTCTCTTGACATTTTGCCTGCATCTGTGGCTGGCATTTTCAGAGGTCTGTTGGAGGTGAGGCAAGTGGAATGTATATATCAAATCAAATCATTTATTTCAGTCATAGACCAGCACAGGAAATAAACATCACAGTTTCATACGAACTTGGCACGTTTAGTACATTTAAAATGTAAATACTGAAGCACAATAGGGGGTGAGGGAGCGGAAGGAGGAACAGGGTAAAAACATGCAATGCACAGGTCTTATCAGCAAATTATACAATCAAGGAAGATGATTAATGGATACACGGTTAACTTTTGGGACCAGTCATCCCCTGACAGATTTTGTATGCTGCTGCAGAAAACTTTGCAACATTGTAGGTTGTAGCTGAATTAGTATCTACAATTAGCAGAGAGGTATAAAATTGTCCTGAACAGCCTGGGTGCTTGTATACCAGAGGTAAGATAAGCCTGGCATAGATATCCCTGTAGAACGGGCACTAGAGGAGCACATGTTCAATTGTTTCTATATGACCCAAATCACAGGGGCAGAGTCTCTCTGGGAAAGGGATCTTCCGGTAGCGGCCTTTGAGTACAGCCGATGGGAGAGCATGGCACCGAGCCAGGGTAAAAGCTCTTCAATGAATAGAAACCTCTAAATTTGTTAAATGTGCCATAGGGGATTCAAGATATTTGCTCTCTTCGTTGATAAGGAAGGTTGGAACAGAGGCCAAAGTGTGTGTGTGTGTGTGTGTATATATATATATATATATATATATATATATATATATATATATATATGGAATGTCCAGAGTGGGAGAAAGAAACCTTGTCTGTGTAAAGCAAGTGCAATTAGCAAGCTTGAATAGCGCTGAGTAGCCATGAAGCTGCAAAGTCAATCAGTGAGGGTATCTCTATAGAGGTAGCCTGGCTGTTGTTGCCTGAAGGCATTATCTGCTTGGGAGTTGTTGACTAGCACTTGATTGTTTGCTGTCTGGAGTGTTCCTGTTTTTGAGTGGCGTTCCTAATTCTGTTTTTTTTTCTTTTTTAACACTGGTAACCAGATTTTGTTCTGATCTATTTATTTATTTATTTATTTAATGCTGATGGTATATTTCTTTTAAAAATACTACCAAAAACACTCTTAAAAGACATATCTCCATTTATATATGCATATGCATAAATATGTTGCTTTCTCTTTGCCTTTCTCTTTTATTTCTATTACTTACATTATCATTCATCATGCATAATTCTTACTATCACCCTCTGATCTCTCTGTCATAAATACTAGCAGACCTCACAACCTCTGAGGATACTTGCCATAGATGCAGGTGAAACATCTGGAGAGAATGCTTCTAGAACATGGCCATATAGCCTGAAAAACCTACAACAACTAGCAGAACTGTTTCTTATAATTTACTTTACACGTGCACTCTTTTTCTCCATAAGTAGTGGACTGGATTATATGGCAGTGTAGATAGACTCATATAGTCCAGTTCCAAGTAAATAATCTGGATTCAGAAACTGGATTATATGGCAGTAGAGTTCCAGCATCTATCTTTGTGTCCCTGTCCCTATCCCTATCCCTAGCTCTATGTTAGTCTGCATCCTTTCCATCTGAGCTCAGGGACAATGTCTGCCTGCAAGGATTCCACTTCTATAGAACTTGGAAAACCGCATTGAGTCGCCTTATCAGGCTGAAAAATGCGGTATAGAAATAAAGCAAATAAATAAATAAATAAATTCAGTACTCACATCAAAGGCAAATTTTGCCAACATCCCAGCCTATACTACACATATCCTGTTTATGTGTTTCATTAAGCAAGTTGGTGGTCACTAAGTGAACAGACTGGGTCTAATATCTATAAATATCAGAAACATCATTGCTGTTTGTTTATCTGGCCATACAATTTAAACAAGAGCTTATTTTTTGTAATGCATGTTTAATAAATAGTCTCCTTCATCTAGCTTCTTATGCTATTCTCCCACTGACTATTACATACACAATACACAAAAAACACAACTGCATAATAACTACAATTACCTGCAGCAATAAGGATGTAGGGATCCCTCATTAGTGTTAATAATGATGCTCCTTTTTGACTCTGACAACAGATAAAATAGCTCCGGGTTAAGAATAGTGCAATATAAGCCTCTGTTTTAAAAATCTTTTGTTCAAGTACTTACTTCTGGTTGTATTCTAGATGGCTGTAGAATTAGCAACTGTATTGCTGCAGGAAAAGAAATCACAGTGTACAGATAATTTATAATTCTGCAACACAAAACTATTTGCTGGATCACAGCTATTATGGCCTGAATTCTCTTGGTAGTCCCAATTAGAGTAGTGCATTCAAATCAGTATTTAAATGTCAACAAGGGTGTAATTAGATATTTTTCATTGTGGAGAAAAGGGATTTTGGAACTGGTCATCATAAAAAATGTGAAAAAAATCGATAATGACTAAAACAACCCACAATTTATGCACTTTAATGAGGAAAATAAACCCAAAAGATTCTCCAAAGTCAACATATTTGTAGATCTTGTTTCCAAAAAGAACCAAATCCATCTGAACAAGTTTTACAGGAATTGAAAAAAATATGCCAAGGACATGCAGTTATCCAAAACCTGTAACAAAGTGATTTGCTCCATTTTGATCTATCTATACATAATATTCTACACCGAGCCAATATTGTGCTGCCACCTAAAACTGATTTTTCATTTTGGAGGGATTTGGTGCCCTTTGGAAACAATCTTCACATTTGTGTAAAATAAATAAATGTGAATAAATAATGAATGCATATTGTGCAAGTCATTCTGTTATAATTATTTGAACTGCTAATAAAATCTAGGAAGCAATGATTGATTTGCAGATGTGTAGAGAAACTGTCTACTTAAAATTCCTTCAAATATGTCACTCTCAAAAGCCAAGGTTAGGTGAAAGTAAAGGTTTCCCCCTGACGTTAAGTCAGGTTGTGTCCGACTCTGATGGTTGGTGCTTATCTCCATTTCTAAGCCAAAGAGCTGCCGTTGTCCGTAGACACCTCCAAGGTCATGTGGCTGGCATGACTGCATGGAGTGCCGTTACCTTCCAGCTGAAGCAATACCTAATGATCTACTCACATTTGCATGCTTTCAAACTGCTAGGTTGGCAGAAGCTGGGGCTAACAGTGACAGCTCACTCCACTCCCAGGATTTGAACCTGTGACGTTTTGGTTAGCAAGTTCAGCAGCTCAGCAGTTAAACCCACTGGGCCACCGGGGCTCCAAAAAGCCAAGGTTGCTTAAATTAATAAATCACTGTGTGACAGTCCATGTGTCAAAGCAGACAATCAATGTTCACATAGTGTTGTATATGCACCAAAATGAGCTCTGCAGCATACACACATGTAAATGCTTCCTTGTACATGTAAGTTTGTGAAATGTTAGTGTTGGAGTTTGCAAGATGACAACAAAATCTTGTTTTCAAATTCCTAAGCTTCATTTAGTAATGAAGTTTAGTAATTCACTACAATGCAAGAAATATGAAGCAGAAAGGAAAACTGAGCATAGACTCACTATATGCAGTGGTTTCAACCTGTGGGTCTCCAGGTGTTTTGGCCTACAACTTCCAGAAATCCCAGCCAGTTTACCAGCTGTTAGAATTTCTGGGAGTTGAAGACCAAAACATCTGGGGACACACAGGTTGAGAACCATTGTAATAGAGTGACTAGTTCTGGCCATCAATAGGATTCAATAGGTTGTTGACATACCTCCATCTAAAAGAGCCAATGCTGCTAACACGAGAAAAGGTGCAGCCTTCCCAACAAATTCATACATCACACTTCCAAAGGGTGGGCCCACTAAGAAAGAAAATTACATTGTATGGAGTCATAACAAAATCTGTGGCAAAAGACTCAATAGAGTACTGTGGATATTATTTTCCAGATTTATAGAGTTCAGTTATGATCATATATATTTAGTCATAGCAAAATCTGTATCAAAATTACCAGCAGTAGTCAATGGCTATTGTGTTCATATAATTATATTGTTTACGTCAATAAATCTAAGTGATGGTAAGGGTTATTGCTTTCCCAAATAAAGTCAAGAATTGCTTGGCAATATTTTCTAGGAAAAATTAAGTACAAAAGACTGCTGAGCAAATGTTAAGGAACAAGTGTGTTGTATACGTATACAAGATTGTTAATAAAATACACTTCAAATGCCAATGTTATTGAGCATATCCTTTGGAGAATATCCATGCATACCTTTGATTTTACAAAGAGAGGGTTGGATTTGATATTCAGAGATGCATGAGTAAGTACTGTTGTTAGCATTTTCAAAATCCTTTAAGAACTAATACTTCTTATGGAAATATTTTATCTAAATATTGGTATAGATTTTGCCCAGGACTCTAGGGTGAGATATGGAATGGAGAAAAGACAATGGTATATCTATATATTAATGTTGTAATTCCTTAGGAGCCAATAGTGAAAAATAATCCTGAATTAAGCAAACCTGTGCATTTTTACAGAGAATAAAATCCTACTGTGTTCCACGATGTTTACTCTCAAGTAAGGTGGCACACAATCACAGCACCATGTATACATGTTCCTAGATGTATGAGTGCAAAAACAGTCATAAATCACACATTCATTGTACCCTAATAAACTACTCTCTTTTATGAGAGAGGCACATATTGTCTGAAACTATATATTTTGCTCCAATCAATGTTACAAACTAACCTAATACCCCCATAGCCAGGCCTCCCAAAGCTATCCCCATTGCATTGCCTCTTTCTTCATCATCAGGATACACACTGGCCAGCATGCCCATGCCTGCATAAAAAAACAGGTAAATCAGTAATATTGTCATTTTTCACTATATGGAGGAAAAAGGAGAATTGATATGATAGGATAGAAAAGGTCAGAAACACATTAAACGAAATAATATTACATGTATGACATAAACAGAGCATATGTATTGTTGAAGGCTTTCATGGCTGGAATCACTGGGTTGTTGTTGGTTTTTCGGGCTGTATGGCCATGTTCTAGAACATGGTCATACAGCCCAAACAACCTACAACAACCCAGTAAACTGAGCATATTTTTTCAGCATGGAAAGTTGTCGCCGACTGCTATGTCCCCTCTGCATTTGGGCTCTTTGGCACAGAAGTGTCTTCAAAGGAAGACACAAGATTTTCTCTTTTTTCCTCTTTTTGCTCTGCCATTTCTTGCACTCCTTCCTTAAATCTGTGCCAAAATGCTGGCTAATCCATTGGCATGGTATGGCTAGCAAAAGAGGAAAAGGAAATAGTGAGAAAACGCCTCATCTTTTCCACATACAAAGAAGTGTCCACTGAATCAAAGTGCCTTCCATCAGAAAAGAGAACCAACCGCATCAATCTGAAGCATCCAAATGAATAATGAAAAAATCATAGAGGTATAGAATATTTGCAAAAATATGTCTTATCTTATATGATACATAATATAATAATGGCATCAGATCTATAACACTGATATTAAGACATTTTTCAGACTTTGCCAGATTTAGGATCCTAACATTTAGATTCTGGATTTACATCCTAAAATTGCCCAAAGACAGAAAATACTTGTAAATTATCTATAAGATGTTGATCAAAATGAATATTGATTTTTAATGAAATACATCATTAGTAGTGAAAATTATAGGTGAAATTCAGAAGGGCAGATCAAGCGGTCAAAATCCATGTGATCGCGCTTATGTTTGAACCTACCTGCTACCGAAGAACAAGAAGAACCCACTCCTTGGAGAGATCTTGCTATGAAAAGTAACTTATAGCTTTCTGAAAAGGCAAACACTGTGAAAAGGCATTAAGACAACAATTAGATTAAATCTAACTAGATATACAAGTTAAGGATAAATTCATTGAGTTTAACTGATCATTTTCCGTGACAGTCACAACACTTTCAATGCTAACGACATTATTTCCCCCTCTTGCATTTAAATGTATCAGTGAATTTATCTGTATCTAAGTCCTCTGCTAACAAAAAGGAAGGAAAAGCAAGCATTAGGAGACATCTTTGTCAATGCTGTATCTTTGCAGATATTTCACAATGCAGCCTTAATGCAAAATACCACAGGAAATGCTCCAGCCAAGATATGGTTCGAACTTTCTGGAAAGTTATTGCTTAAAATAGCCTTCTTTCAAGTCCCAATGAATGAACGTACATCACCATGAAAAAGAAAAACTGGCACAGTTCAATAAGCCTCTGTGACATTTGTCAGAGAGGGATCCACAGATATTTTTGCTTATGTTTCTATGGGTTGCAGACTGTCATAGAATCATAGAATCATAGAATCAAAGAGTTGGAAGAGTTGGAAGAGACCTCATGGGCCATCCAGTCCAACCCCCTGCCAAGAAGCAGGAATATTGCATTCAAATCACCCCTGACAGATGGCCATCCAGCCTCTGCTTAAAAGCTTCCAAAGAAGGAGCCTCCACCACACTCTGGGGCAGAGAGTTCCACTTCTGAACAGCCCTCACAGTCAGGACGTTCTTCCTAATGTTCAGATGAAATTTCCTTTCTTGTAGTTTGAAGCCATTGTTCCGCGTCCTAGTCTCCAGAAGCAGAAAACAAGCTTGCTCCCTCCTCCCTGTGGCTTCCTCTCACATATTTATACATGGCTATCATATCTCCTCTCAGCCTTCTCTTCTTCAGGCTAAACATACCCAGTTCCCTAAGCCGCTCCTCATAGGGCTTGTTCTCCAGACCCTTGATCATTTTAGTCGCCCTCCTCTGGACACATTCCAGCTTGTCAATATCTCTCTTGAATTGTGGTGCCCAGAATTGGACACAATATTCCAGGTGTGGTCTAACCAAAGCAGAATAGAGGGGTAGCATGACTTCCCTAGATCTAGACACTATGCTCCTATTGATACAGGCCAAAATCCCATTGGCTTTTTTTGCCACC